CTGTTAGAAAAGGTAAATTCAATTACGTCGGTGCTATCTGGCCAGATGGTTTTGGAAGGAGCTGGCTAACATTTCGATGAACAAACATCTTGATTTACTTAAAGAATCATTTATTTTAACAGCCTGTTGTAGAGCTAGCCTTGATTTAGGACTAAAACGTAAGAACTGGTTCAAGATATAATTACAGCTGAGTCATTAAATAGCAGTGACCACAGTACAATTACAGGTTCAGCATCCTCAGGGGTGGAAGACACTTTACTAAAAATGAGTCTTGTGTTATAAAACATTGCAGGGGAGAACATCAGAAAAGCAAAATTGTGAGCCTGGTCAAGGTAGCTCCACAGACACCTGGAAATGTTCCAGACACCCAGGTTAGGAAGAGCTCTGTCACAAAGGAGCTCCAGAGCCGAAGTGTAGGGCAGAACAGTGAAATATTTATAAAAGGAGGGACTTCTGGAGCAAGACTCTTTGACAAGACAGAGGTCCAGCTCTCCCAAAGAGTGCCGGAAGAGCCATGCTGTGCTGCAGGTCACAAATTCAATTTGTGGAAATTAAGCAGTTCAGCAGGGATGTTTTGGAGAGCCGGAGACCCTCGGGAACAAACGATATTTTAAGCATACAAGCGAGAAGGCTCTTCAGAGGATCTAAACGTGTAGGATTAAAGACACAGTCATATTTTCTGCACTAATTTGTGTTACGTAGAATGCTCCAAAAATAATGTTTCCTACTAATTTCCACAGAAGTTGCAGCAGATGCAAGGAGCACAGTGACACTATCTGACAGAGCAAATTCTCAGCTACAGAACACACTCTCAGGTGTGCATTTTTGTCAGTGATGCGCAAGAGCCTGCATGCCATGCTCGTAAAAATCTGCACCAGCCGAGGTGACCACTGTCACTGTCTCCACCGCAGAAACACACCATCCACCGCCTTACTGCGCTCACACCCACTGTTCAGTCTCCAGAAGATGTCAGCAATTGCTGATGAATGTCAGCGGGTGCCATTTTTTCCTCATGGAGGAATTTAATTCTACACCTTTGCTCCATACTCACTTCCATGTCAGATGCCACACTGTCATACCACCCTTCTACTGCCATCTATCACGGAGCAACAAAATGTAACGGGATATTGGCGGAAGGTGCAACCTTTGCTCTCATCCCACCATCATCCACCTCTGTCATCATGGGCTGACATAACAAAGCAGGAGGCATTACTTTTGGAGCACGGGGTGCATTCAAGAGGCACCTTTCTCCCTTCGGCAAGGATAAGGAACGTATCTGCAGCTTGTACCTTTGAGGCAAATACAACACAGCCAGGTAGCAAATCCAAGTGGAGGAGCAATGCGCACCCACACAGGAGTTTTTAAAGAGCTGGGGACAGAACACTAAAGTTAGTAGTAATTATAGGGTCTCCTAAAAAATAGCTTGGTATCCTCCATGATTAGAATACATCCTAATGGTGTATTATTAATAATAATAACAATCATAACAATAATGTTATTGTTATTATTAATAATGACATTATTGAACAGGGCACTGGGAATTGTAGACCAGCAATTCCTTGTTTGAGGAGTAGCTAAAGTAGTATCACATGTCAGTATGTGCTAGGGTGAAAGCAACGTACCTTCTGCAAGGAAAGATCGTGTTTTCCAGGTAATCTGCCCAAACCTTTTAACCTGCTGGCAAATGGCAGGGTGCAGAGAATCGGGGGATTTTTATTTGGATAAATATGGATCAATATCATGGATGCCTTCTTTTGCTACCGCTGATATTGATCAGCTCAGGGTAGAAGGAAGCTTAGTCTGAGCTGGAGATGGAAACTTTCCTGGGCTCGGAGGCGGGGGTATTTCTTGAGTAGATCTGCAGACTTTGAGCAAGTGAGTTTTCTTTGGGAGGCAGTGATTTGTCAGAACCAGAGTTGCAGGGTGGAAAAGGGTTGATTTTCTCTGGACTTATCTGGTGAGCACATCTAGGTCAAAGTCTGGTTGGCCAAAGAGGAGACACAAGCGCAGAATACTTGGCAGCACGACATCTAGATTCCTCCTGTGATGTGGCAGCCCCAGTTCAAATCCTGACCCTGAGCTAAGGCTGCCACATCCCATAGTATGCCTCAGCAACCAATGAGTCCGGATGTATTCAGCTTTTTTTGTTTGTTTGTTTGTTTGTTTAACCAAACCAAGCAAAAAACCTGAAAGTTGTTGGTTTGGTAGTGGGCAGAAAGGGAAGGTATGGGGAGAGAAGCCTATCCAGTTCTTTCCAGGTCTCATCTAGCTCTGTATTTGAGGCTGCCCACACACATACGTGTGCATGTGTGTGCAGACCTCCCCAAGGACCCAGGAGGTGAGCTGCTGTGAGCAGGAGCAACGCTTTGCTGCTGTAGTTCAGTTTAAGGCTTCTTAAATGTCTGAACGTCCCAACATTCCCCTGGCTCAGAGGAGCACAAGCTGGGTGTGGGCAGTCTGCAGCTGCAGGGAATGGCCTCTGCTAGGACAGGCAATAGATTGAGAGAAAAAATGTCAGTGATGCTCTGGAAATATATCTAGGCTTTAGAGGACTTGCTCATTCAAGAGGAAGAGTGTCTTCCCTTCAGCATCTGATTTTGGGTAGAAAAACCAAATGAACTGAAGGTGCCATAGAAATTAACTGTGTATTACAGAGTTAGGTGCTAATGTCTTAGAGGCTGCTGTGTTTGAACTCACATGTAATACCATTCATTACGTTCCCAAGTTGTTCCTCTGCTGTTTTCCCTTGGTAAGCTGGCCGTTGTCACTGACACAACCTTTGTCCCCCTCCCTGAGAAATACCAATTTCATTATGTTACTCAACTCTAGTGAAATTGTATCAGCTGACTTTGAAGTACACAGTATAAAAACGTCGTGGTATGCTTGCATGGTAGTTATTTGATGTAAGAAAATGCAAAATCTCTTGTGCTCTCTCTTTAGGAATTTGGGCTCTGAGTTTCACTGGGGAGTGCTGTGTGTACCCAACTGCATGGGGTCAGGCCCACCTTTTTTAAAAACGTTTCACATCTGAGGTTAGAAATGCTTCAGAAGACAAATCAGCAGAAAAGCTGTCTGTTCTTGGCTCAGATGACAGTAGTGACTTGTACTAAGGACTGTCCTTCCACTTAGAAAACTGCACGGCTGCTTCTGCTTTAACTTCTGTCAGAGGTCTGGCATCTTGGCACAGGTGTTTTTTTCTAAATGTACTGAGTACAGTTGCCTTTAAAATCCTCTTAGGTACATACAGTTATCATTGGTGTTCTGTAAACTAGCTCTCTACTAGCATTCACATTGGACTAGGCCTAATATTCTGAATGTCAAAAAATGAAAATGAACTTATACCCTTTTATGCAGTTCTGCCCAGGGTAGTGGTGGGTTGGTTTGTCTGTAGAAGTACCAGCAGTGCTACGTCGGTCTTCCCTGCTTTACCTGCGGTGATTCTCGGTGGGAGAGCCCAGATGTGTGGGCTGGAAGCCCACTCTACTTTCAGTTGAAAGTTATGAACTGAAAGATACAGGCTCAAATCTATTTTTCCATCCGTTGTTGACACCGAGGTATTATAGTGATGAAGTCCTTGGAAACACTTGGACAAACTCGGCTGTAACACTGAGATAATGCATCTTTTCCATTCTTTTCTTTTGCCGTCGATCGAGTATCTGAGCGTTTTTTGTCATGTAAAATGTTTAACTTTGAGTAAAAATTACTCCACTATCTGTCAGATACTATCCCTTCTCATCCCATAAATCCATTTAGGCTTGATTATTTGTAGTCTTCCAGGAAGGGCCGACTGTGTGCATTCCCAAAGCCAACACCTGCCCCAGTGAGGGAAGGAAACCTTTCTGTAAAGGCAGCGCTGCCCAGGCACCCACGGCTCTCTGCTCCGGGTGCTCTGAGGCCCCAGCAGGGCAGGGCTGTGAGACAGGCTGTGCCGCAGCGGGGTGGGATGACGGCCCCGTCCCACAGCTGTGCCCCATGGGGGCAGAAAGCTCGCAGCTCTGGGTGCGGTGCGGGGCGGCCGCTGGCAGGCTCTGCGCGGGGCACAGGCAGCCTGGGGTGCTGAGGTGCCACGCACCAGCCTGCACTGCAGGTCACCCCGCACGCTCCCTGCCTTTGGGTCCCAGGAAAGGGAAATTGGAACTTTTTCGGGTCAAGAAAACTCAGTGAGGGTGACACCAGGCCCCTGGAGAGCGGAGTTTTTCCCGCAGTAGTGCCGGCTGCTCACACTTGCTTCTTTTCAGCCATTGCCCATGGTTTGGTTTTGCTGGGTTCTTAGCCATCTTGACCTCATGTTTGCAAATATTATTGGTAATATAATGCTATATGTACAAATGTCTGTGTGGCTCGTGTATGTTTCTGTGGTTCAAATCAGCCACAGAATTCTGGAATTTCATTGTACTTTGGTTAAATGTTGGACTTTTAACTCTTCTACTGTATGGCTTCTTGATTTCTCTTGTCCAATGTGGACCAACTCTCTATTTTTGGAAATAAATAAGCATGTAAATAAAATGAATGGGTTTATGCCACTTACAAGAAAATGCTTCATTTCAAATATTCACTCAGACTTGTATATTTTATGGCATCTCACGGCGCGGCCGACCCATCGCAGCCGAGAGGCTGAGGCAAAGCAGCCTTCGCGGTGAGATACCATACGATGTGAAGTCCTTGCCAGGTGCTGTCGGCCAGACAGACGCTGTAGGGCTGCGGGGTGAACGGCAGTCTTGTGGAGGAGGGGGGCCGGGAAAGCAGTGAGTAGTTTGCGAGGAGCAAAGAAAAGAGACCTGGCATTGTGGTGCACATGTGGCTTCTGGTTTGAGGTGTCCCTGTCCCTGTTGCCGGCAGTGCAGGGTGCCCGGCGCCAGCCCTCGGCCTCTGCCCGCAGCGCAGTCCCGCAGCACGTCCCGCTGGCGCGTGGAGAGCGGGAGCACTATGACTTTTTTTTCTTCTCCATATAAACCAATATTTACCAGTAATCCTGTGTTTCTGTTTTTGTTTTTTGGCAGACTTTTACCAGTAAATATCGGTTTATTCCTGAAACCAGAAGCCCTATACATACCTTTGTTTATAAGGTCAGTTGTCATTTCGTCTCTCTCGTTCCCCACTCCCCCCAGTACAAACTGGCAGGTGATTGAAAGGTACCGAGCTTTCTTTCTAGTTTTCCTACTCTGCAACTCTGGAAATGGAGCCCGCAGGACCTAGAGCCTTCTCTTGGTAACGTAGATTGAAGTTTACAAATTATTATTTAACACTTTAAAGTCTGCTTTTAAGGACAGCAGTGTTCCCATCTGCCTGCTACCAGGCTGGTAGAAATTCCTGCAGATGCTTGGCGTGGTTCACCTTCCCAGAGCCTGTGGGCAGGTGTCTCACAAAGCATCTTCAGGTTTGGGCTTGGAAAGTAATTCCTCCAAAAGTACATGCTACAAAATGGCATTTCAGTTTTACAGGGAACAGGATGGGGGGAGCGGAGGGTGGGAACTGAGTATGGATATGTCTTTTTCTGATTTTATTTTTTTTCTTTTCATTTTTCTCTATATTCTGCTAGAAAGCAAGGCTTCCGTTTTGGAAAAGAAGCGTGAAGTGGGGAGGAGGGAGAGAATTTGAGCATTGCCCATCCTAAAATAGTTTTAAACACTTTCTCCAATGCTGATGGAAAAGGCAGGTGAAAGGTCTGATCTGATCCTTAAAAGGACATTGCTAGGTGTTTGGGACTCCAAAAGCAGCTGGCGCTTCTTAATGACTGCAATTGATTTAGGCAATTTGCAAAATTTGGTCTATACTAAGACGAATCAGCTTGGGAGAATTGAAGACTCCCTTTTTTTTCTAAGAGTTTGCAACCCAAATGCTGCAGTACTGTGCTAATACTTGTGAAACAGCAAAGCTGGCAAGGAATAGAAAATGAGTTGACTGCATGGTCCCAGCCAAATTTTTTTTTTCTTTTGGACAAACAAAATGAAAAAATCATAATCAAAACCACCCTGAGCCAAAAAGTGCAACCTCCATAGAGCAAGCAGAACAGCATCTCAAGTGATTTGATTTGGTCTTGTCATGCACGGTTGGCAGGAGCATTTCTGGTATAGCTGCAACCTAACCATGTCCCTTTAAGACCAACTTCATCTCGATGAAACAAAAGACAAGGTTTTGCACTGTAGAGCAGATCAAAGCTCCTGCAGCCTTAGTTGGAGTCCATAATGACGGCAGTCTTCCAGCTGTACACTCTGAGCTGAAAACTACCTTTCCTCCCCTTTTGCAGCCTGTGTGGTTCTGATTGCTGGCAGTTCTCTAATACAGCTTTAATCTGAGCATTTGAGGCTGGTCCCACCTTACCTTCAGACGTCTTGCGGAGGACTCCTGTTACCCGTTTGGTACCCAAAAGCTACACCCACCATGAGAAGTCACTTATTTTTTAAAAGGCAGTGATAGATTACCGTCTCTAGTTCTAATGGAAAAATTATACTGCAATGCAACTTTATAATAAATTGTTCATATATTCATAATTCCGTGGCAATCCCAAATTGGAGGATGGATCTGTTAAAGGTATATATTAGTCTAGATTTTTTCTTATTGTAAATACTGTAATTTTATAATACTGTCAATATTTTATTAACTTAGAAATATTTAACAGAGTTTAATCTATTGTAGTTGATTTATTTATAAGTTTATGTTGCAGCCAATACTGAACTGCATTCTAATGTAAGATTAACTTTCAGCATGTGAACACTGATTTAATCTATTATTGGAAAGATTGAAAATAAGGAAAAATTTCACTCTCAATCTGTAATATTTATCCCGCGATCAGCAGTTCAGAGTTTTTAATGAAACAGAACAAGATTTCAAAAGCTCATGAACTGCAGTTGGATCGTGTCGTTTGAAAACTTGAGTTTTGAAATGTACCTGGCTTTTTCACCCTGTTGGCAGTGAATAAGATCGCTTCAGTACCTGAACTTTAAAGTACAAAAGTCTTTATTTTGAGCAAAGGGACACTCTCAGATTAACATTAGGTTCTTGTTTTAAGGGAAGAAAAAAAGAAGCAAAACTCACCTCCCCAGCACCCACGTTAATTCCATCTCAATCACAAGGAAGAAACATTTTTTCTGCTGGCTTGCTAATTGGCTCAAAGCGTTCCTGGAGCTGTGCTTGCAGGTGAGCTGCAGCCGGGGGCTCCCACTGCTCCAGGCGCAGGCTGGGGCCCTTCCCCAGGTGTGCAGCTGCACACTGCGGCCTCGCGGGGGCAGATCCGGTCTCTGGCACTGCTTTATAACCATTGTCAAGGTGGATGAAAGTGCGTAAAATTTACCCTTTGTTAGGCTGAAGTTTCTCTTCACAAATTTGCTTTTTTTTTTCCCCCACATATATCTCTCTTTTAGCCTGACAGTGTCCCTTTAACAGTACAAAGATGTTTACTTTCTCTAAAAAACTATTACAAGTGACTTTGAGACAGAGGAGAACTCATCTGTAATATGTTTGCGACATAACTTGCATAAAGATATCAAAAAACATAAGGGGTTTTCATGGGAGTTGTTTTTTTTTTGAGTGTAAAAGTTAATCTTTATTAGAGATGTGCCAATCTATACTGCTTTATTGTAGTGTTGTTACACTTAGGCATTTCAGTTAACTTACAAAAATATATACTGTAACAGTATACTTTGTACAGATTTATTTAAAATTTATTTGAAAACTGAAATAAATTAGGCAGAAAATAAAGATATTTATTTTTCATTTGACAATGTAAGAAGGTATCATTCTTTTGGTTTTAGTGCACTGGTGTGTACCAAGCCTCGGAACCACTGTTTTCTTCAGTTCCTAGTATGCTTTCCAGACACTGTGGATATGTGTGTGTGTACTGTTATGCTTCTAACTAAATGCCAACAACGGAGTTCGTTGCTTTTATACATCCCAAAGAAAAGCTCTCCACCATTCACTTTCTGTTTTCTGATGAAAAGATGCATGTTTTTGAACAGTGTCATTACAAGTTCCGCCACCCCACTTTCACATCAGCTTATGCCAGTGCCAGGATGGGAGGATTTGCCTGCCCAGTGACTTCCCCAGTACACCACAGCCAGCAGTGGCATCGGCAGGGAGCAGTTCGAATGCGTGTCCTTTGGGCTTTACGTAAAGCAAACGCAGAACAAGAAAAATCGAGACGTTAAATTCGTTAGAAAACAAATTCCTCGTTGTACAGTAGTATGGAAGTCAACCTGCCATTCATAATAGAGTCTTATTTTTTTGAATGATCTATTTAAAAGAACAGCAAGCATTGTATTTGCTAGTAAAGCTGAACTGTTTACATGGAATTACTAAATAAATTATTTGATCTAAAATGGCTCTCATCAGTGCTGATTTTTAATGCTGAAAATTAATTTTGGCAGACGCTCATTTAGTTTGTGCTGTTCTTTAAGATCTCCCAAACCAAATTTTTAATGCATCTTTTTGTTTTAAATTAGGTTCTGAGGAAGACGCAAAACATGCATTTCCCTGGGAGGTGTGACAGGAGCACTCCCAGAGGTTTTCCAGCACTCTGCACATCACCACACTGTCCCACTGACGCTGTCCCACCACGCTGACCTCACTGTCCCAAGCTAACGATCCTACTGCAGAAGCAGAGCAGGGCCTGCGGGCTGAGAGCCCTGCAGCAGCAGCACTGCGTGGCTGCCATTCTCCCTGCTCTGAGTCCCATCAGAGAATCACAGAATCAAAGGACAGCCTGGGTGGAAAAGGACCACGATGCTCACCTCGTTGCAACCCCCGGCTACGTGCAGGTCGCCAACCAGCAGAGCAGGCTGCCCAGAGCCACATCCAGCCTGGCCTTGAGTGCCATCTTTTATCTTGCGGATAGGTATTTTTTGAGTAGAAAGTGATGGCCGAGTGGCACAACTCCGTCCTGCAGGGCAGTCAAACCCAGCTCTGGCAGGCCGAGCTCACGGCACGTGGTCCGGTTCATTTTTCAGCCGCAGGAAAGCCCCGCGCCCCGGGCTCCAGGCCCCGTCTGCAGGCTGCTCTGTGCAGCCGGGCTGAACGCGGGCCGTGGGCGCGGCTCAAGGCCCGGTGCCCCCAGTGCGGCTCCCCGCCGTCCGAGGCCCGGCAGCCGCAGAGGGTCCTGGAGCCGGGCCTGGCGCAGGGGAGCCAGCTGGCACGGCAGAGAAAGGCCTGCGCTGCCCCGCGGCCCGGCAAGGCCTGGCGCACGGAGCGGCCTTGAAGGGGGCGCAGCCCGGCCCTGGCACCCGGCCTGCCCGAGGGCACGTGCCCGGCGCCGGCGGCCGGTCAGCAGCTGCGGGAGGGGAAGCCTCGTGAAGACCGAGGCAGAAGTAGCGGCAGTCCTTGCAGATGCAGAGTCTGGCCACACCGTGTCCCCATTTAAGCACAGCATGCGTTTGTTCTTTATTAGGAGCTGAAAACTGAAAAAAATGAGAGTACAAATAATGCAATCTATCCCGTATTTCTCATTTGCCAGGCTTCCTTGAACAGCATGCTAAGGCACGCGATGTTTAGTTCAATGCTGTCAGCGCTAGGTTCCTGCTTAGAAAACCTATCTGGCATTTACATTGAACACCATTTGAAATGCTTTCAGAAATGGATGTTACGCTTCATATCCAGGGCAGGATTCCCATCCTCCTCAAGGTGTGCTCGTGCGCAGGCTGCTCCCCGCTGTCCCTGTGCTCGCAGGGATCGGGACTCAGCTTGGGAGCAGCAGACCCCCACCCAGCTCCCTGCAGAGCAGGGCTCCAGCTCATCACAGCCTGGGCTCCCCAGGGGCTCTGCCATTAGCACAGCACGTAGTGCATTCTGCTGCTTCAACAGCAAGTCATTCTGCCCTCCACTTCTTTTTCTGTATGGAATATTTATGTGCATCTTTTCCTTATAGGAGGAATAGCGTGTGTGGTTTTGAGTAGTATGTTCCTGGTAGTTTGCTTTCTGCTTTGGGGGAACACGCTGATAAAATGGCTACGCTGGTGTGAGTCACACCAGGAATCTTATCTGGGACAGAGGTTTCTCCAAGCTGACACCTAACAGCGCTGACCAATGAACGCTGCTTCAGAAGTTACAATCAGATGTTCTCTACCTTGGTGAGATGCAAAGCCCTTTTTCAGGGGGAAAAAAATTATCCAGATTAGCATTACCTCTCCCCCCTTCATCTCCACCTCTCTCCTTCTTGAGAGGAATTACAAATATAGCTCAGGAAATGATTTAACCTGCTGCTAAGCCTCACAGCCGTAATAGTGCTGTAACACAGGGACCAGCAAAGTCTATAGGGCTCCTGTGACATGCCCACAGCTCCAGCCCCACTCTCTCTGGTGCTTCTGTTCTCATTTTAAAACAAAATGCAGATTGAAACATCAGGTAGTGATCATAAACTTGCATTTTCAGCAATTGCTCTCATTCATTTTTCACTGATAGAGTGGTGCTTGAGTAATTTTGAACATTCTCATATGGTTCATCTTGCCCATCTTGAAACTCACTGGTTTTTCCTAACGTGACTGAATGATAGAATCATTAAATCACGGAATAGCCTGAGCTGGAAGGGTTCTGTGAGGAACATCAAGTTCAACACCTGAGTGAGTCCATACAGGGCAACTTGAGAGTTAAACCATGCATCTATAAGCATTGGCCAAATGCTTCTGTAACTTCACCTCAACTGCCTTCACTCTGGGACCTCAGCTGCTCCTCCAACATCTTGCCCTTAGAGCCTTCCCTGTCTTTGTAGCCCTCCTTTGGCTGCTCTTTAAGAGACTTATGGGCATCCAAACCTGCACACAGTACTCACAGACAGCGAGACTGCATCACGGCTGGGCAGAGCAGGCCAATCACACCTTTGGCCCAGTTAGCTACAGTGAGCTTCGTGCATGTCCAGGGTAGGGTTGGCCCTTTTGGCCACCAGAACACACTGCTGACTCATACTGAGCTTATCATTAACCTAAATGCCCAGATCCCTTTCTGCAGGGCTGCTTTCCACACACGTCTCCCAACCTGTACATACATCCAGGGTTACACTGTCCCAGGTGCAGAATCTAATATTTGTTCTTGAAATTCATATGTGTGATGATTGCCCAGAGCTCTAATCTATCACTGTCTCTCTGTAAGGCCTCTCTACCCTCAAGGGAATTGACAGCTCCTTCTAAGTTAGTATCACCCACAAACTTAGCGTGCGCTCAGTCAAAGCTTCCAATCAAAGCAATTCCTTTGCATTGGCTTTTAGGCATCTGCAGAAAGCCTGGTATCGTTGCTGGGAAGTGGTTCAAGTAGGTTAGTCAAGAATAGCTACCACAGGGTGGCATTCTTTGACACAGGAAACCAGAGCAGGTGCTTCTGTTATCACCTTCAACACTGCTCGCATGGAAAGACAACTGAAACATCAACTGGTATCTCCTCAGTGGTGCCTTGTAGGCATTTGGGACAGAGACTACTCTTGATTTCAAGAAATCATAGAATCATAGAATGGTTTTGGTTGGAAGGAGTATTAAAGACCATCTAGTTCCACCTCCTGCCAGAGGCAGGGCTACCTCACACTAGAACAGATTGCCCAAAGCTCTATTCCAGCGCTTGCAGGGAGGAGGTACCCGGGCCACCTAGTCCAGTGCCTCACCACCGTGAAGAATTTTTATTTATATCTTAAATAAATCTATTAGCATAAAACCATTATCCCTTATCCCATGACTACATACTTTTGTGAAAAATCCCTCTTCAGCTTTCTTGCAGGCTCCTTTAGGTAGTGACAGGCTGCTTTGAGGTCTTCTCAGCACTTTCTATTCTCCAGACCGAGCAACTCCAACTCTTAGAACTTCTCTTCACATAGAGATGCTCCAGCCCTCTGATGATCTTCGTGGCCTCCTTCGGACTCACTCCAACAATTCCATGTCTTTTTTCATGGCCTCAGAGCTCTATGCAGTTCTCCACATGGGGTCCCATGAGAGTGGGACAGTCCCCTTCCTAACCCTGCTGGCCACCCCTCTGTTGGCTTTCCAGGCCGCAAGAGCACACCGCCAACTCACGTTGAGGTGCTCATTAACCAGCACCTCAAGTCATTCTCCTCAGGGCTGCTCTCGGTGCATTCTCCACCCAGCCTGCATTTGTGCTTGGGATTGCACTGACTCAGGAGTGGCACCTTGCACCTGGCCTTAAGAAACTTCATGAGGTTTGCATGAGCCCACCTCTTAAGCCTCTTGAGGCATAGCATACGATCTATGGCATCCCTCCCATACTGCAGTACATGTTGATCCCACCATAATTGCAATAAGAAGGCATAGATATGAACTTATTCCAGCTCCAAACAGCTTCCTCTTTAACCCAGAAGAGCATTATAGCTGTAAAGACATAATTTATTTCACTTCAGATTTATTTTTCCAAGTTTTAAATGTGGAGATGCTGAAAATGGGAAAGAGAGGCACTTAAACGGCAGAAGGAACACTGACAATAACATCAAATAATTGTTCAGGTGGGAAACCAACGTGACATTTGTTGCAGCCACTCGCATCAGGGATGGGAGAGACTTGTCTCTTACTGTGTTTGACTTTACAACTTACCCAGAGTTCGAGCTGGCCCGTGAATGAAATGCCATTTCACAGATGGAAAGTGATTTCTGCTCTTGGGCAAGGAGGGAGGGAGTGGGATGCCTCACAAGCTGCTGCTCTGCGCATCCCAGATGAGCTGGTGCACAGGTGCCTGCCCCAGCTCCTGACCAGCATGCAGCTGCAGGCAGCGCACTGCCACCTTCCTGCTGCTGGGAGCGGTAGGAAGGGGCTGTCTTTGCACTGCAGTACAGCAAAAGCACATGGATGGCACTCGCTGTGGGCACACGGTGCTGACAGACGCCTGGAAGACCTTGACCCACAATACAGATGACAGAAGAGAGCAAGAAAGGCAGGGGAAGGGGAATTGCTGGTTCTGAATGAGGAAGCCCAGTTCCTCTTCCCTGTGGGCACTTGACTTCCCTGTACTGATGTGTCTCCTTTAGCTAGATTGTAGCACTACACCCTGCCTGGCTCCCCAGTGGGAGGAACAAACACTTCCACCATTGACCAGGCAAGCAGAATTTTACTAAACAGGCAGTTCTCAGAGTAGGAGAGTGCCCGAAGCTCCATCTCCTTTGCTCTGCCAGGTGAGATGAACAGCTGCAGCTGTAAACTTCATCCATATCTTTTCCTCTCTGGCCCCAGCAGGATCTTCCCACTATAGTGACAGGTGGGAGAAAGCCTGGGGCCTGCCCTGCTGCCAGGCGTGAGGTGGCCAGGCACCCATGCTTTTTCCCATCCCGGAACAGCAAGGAATCATTCAAGAAATACAGAGATACAAACATTTAATAAGGATGAATTAGTAAACTAAATAT